GCTAAATTCCTCTGCCAATACTCTAATTGCTGGAGAGAAAGCCTGGCATGCCTTAAAGAGGCGTCCAACACACCTGCCTTTACTCAATCACCAAATACGTGTACATGACTCGCGAGCTCTTAACTATTAATAAACACAAAGCCGCTGTAGAGCGAAGCCGAGACGGGTTTGCTTCAGAGTAAGACGCAATCGCAATGCACACCTGAGGAACAACGTGCTTACGGCAACACCGGAGACAACAAGACAAGAATGAAACTTGACCTGCAAATGGCAAGAAGAGGGGGGGGGGGGGGGGGGGGAGCACAACAATTAAAAAAAAAAAGGCAATTTGGAGCGTGAAAAGGCAACCCCCCGCCCCCAAAAAAATTGATGTGTATGGAAAATGGTTCAGAGTATTGTTGGTCGTGCAAAATAATTTATACAACTGTTATTTTCTCAATTAGGTCATTGAAGAATTAAATGTACACGACCAAGAGTCTGGTATTTGTTGAAATACTTTATTTTGGCCACAAAGTGTATTTTTTTTTTCTTTTTCTTTTCTTTTGATTGCTTCATCTCATGAAATAAATGTGAATTGATTTTGAAAAAAAGACATCTGCTCAAATTACATTTACATTTTCAAATGATCACTTCTCCAACATTCAAAGGAAATCACAATGTCCTATCACAAGTGGGGAATTTTTTTTTTTTTTTAGAACAGGCCCACGGGCTACTCGTATGGTCCTTGGGGGCTCACTGGTTGGTGACCTGTGATTTTTTTTTGCGTATAAAATTCAATAGAATAATAAAATAAATCATTTAGACATGTTTAACATTTTATTAAGTAATTGGCTCATCAAATAAAATTAAAAATAGAACTGGTAAATAAATATTGAAATGTGCCTATTCATTATTCTCTTTTTTGTTAACTCAATTATCTCCCTCAGTCAGCATTTTTTGATAAGAAAGAAAATTGCAATTAACACCATTTATTTGTAATAGATATCACTTCAAAATACTAAATGTGAAACAATTACTATATTACAAAATGGGATTTTTTTTCTTCTCTCCAAAACAAAAGTATCCTCCATATTTGTACTTTTTCTTTACCTTATCTTTGAATGACCAGGCCCATCTGCCCATTTTAAAAACTAAACCGGGACCAGATTGTTGCCATGCACACGTCCCCCTGTGTGAGTGCACGTGTCAAAGGACAAAACATTGTGTCTCCGTGTTTATGTATTTAGATGAGTAAGACTACAGGAGAATGGTTTCCATCTTAGGTTGGGGGGGGGTGTATGTGGAGGTGAAAAATGATGCACGGTGCATGAGCTCCAAATAGCCGAGCGCGAGGTGGAGGGCACGGTCGGCGTCAGACGAGGCCGCGGCGAGGACGCAGGCGCGCTGAGGGGTCAGCGGTGCGGTCAGCGGGTGAAACGCAGTTCACATTAGCATCCAGACAGCCGGCCTAACAATGGAGCCCCCATCTGTTCCTGTCAGCCATTACAAATCTGGTGTCAGTTGCTCCGTCGAAGACAACGGCCCGCCGCATCTCATCAAACCGAGGCGAAGGAAACGCAGCCGTCCACTTGGCACTCGCTCACTCTCCGGTTCGGGACGAGAGCGCGGCGATTACAGAGGATGACGTATCCTCGCCCTTGAGGAGCTCGCAAATACGGCATAAAGGCCGTGTTGGGAGTCGCTCCCTGTCTGCTATTTGGCGCACCATCGAGTCAGTTCGCCATTTTGTAGCGCTGTGTGAATGCGTTGCGACTCGACGCTATCCCCCATTGTTCAGTTTCTCGGGTGTTGTTTGATTTTTCAGCACGAGACGCAAGTTGCGGTGCGAAAATATCTTCAACAAAAGGAGCGGATGGATATAAAGTGTTTTGTTTGGGGGAGTGCAAAAATATATATATATTTTTAATGAATTGGATAAAAATATTTATTTGCATTTCCATCCATTCGTTCAAGAAGACATGATTCCAAATTGAGAGTGCAGAAAATGCACAAATGAATTTTGATTCCATCATTGTTTTGGTCCCTGTTTTTCAAAGTAAAAGAGGTTGTTTGTAAATGTCTTTCGATTCACAAACGTAATCATCTCCTCTCAAGGTGGACTACCGAAAAATGAGAATATTTGCTGAGATTCTGAGGATTGAGACAATTTTAAATTAAACACGGTCTCAATACCCATCGATTGAATTTTCAAATGAATTAATTTGATAGTTGACTCGTTGTCGATTACTCATTGCATCTCAGGTTGTTTACATTAATTTTGTACAATGCACTCAATTTAAAAAAAACGACTCAATGTTGTTAGAATTTATCCCTGTGCTCAATATTTATTTTACGGAAGGTAAACTAGCTGACATTGATCCAATACGTTGTCATCGTGCAACAGCAATGACGTAATTAAGCGCGCGTTTCAAAATGATTTTTCATTCCACTGATGAGTGAATTATATCGTCTGCCATATAAAAATCTCGACGTCGTGATTATGGAGTAGGCAATGAGTGAATGTTTCCACTCCCAGCCAAAGATACGACCGCAACTCCTTCCAGTCCAATCAAATACATCCTGAGGGAATTTAAATGAACACCGGCTGACGTATGATGTCACTGATTTTCATTTTTCATCCCCCCCCCCCCCCCCCCCCCCAAAAAAGGGCCCCA